TTCTCATGAGAGGCCTTGGCTGATCAAAACTCTCCGAAGACCACTGTGCATACGGGGAGATGCGGCACTGAACGCGGGAACCTCTACGTGTAGCAGGAGATACGGCGGGACATATCCATCGTCGGAACTCAATAATAGAACAAAATGCGTGTCCTGAAACATGTTGGTTGGCGACTGAACGAGAGCATGAATGAAAGCGTCAGCATCTGCGAACTCAAACATGTGTAAGTACTGGTCTTTTATACCGCAAGTATTAGACACGATTGGATAGATGAGAAGGTAATAAGTGACGTAGCAATTGAGTCTTCCTGGCAGAACTTAACGCTAAAGCTTCCATATCTCTGTCTTGTGTACAAAATTTTGCATGGACTGGCTCCTCCTATATTGCGCCAGTTTGTGAGCACAGCACCAAATGCTCGCAGATCTACAAGGAGTGCAAGCAAGAGGTGACTGCATTGTCCCGTTGAGGAAGAGTGCACTTGGTCAAACAGCTTTTTCAGTAAGGGCTGCTCGTGAATGGAACCTCATTCCAATTCACATTAGGAATTTTAAAACGTATGCTTCTTTTAAACTTACCTTAAAGAAATGGCTAACAGGTAGTCAGGACTGTTTACATTACACTTGACATGAAATCTTGCTGCTGCCCTGTCTTCCTTGTCCTGCCTGTTTGTTTGTTTGTGCCTCTTGTGCTATGCCAATGAGGTTGGCTGGCTCATTGTGTTCTCTTGTGTTTAAATAGGTGAAACCTCTGTTATTGGTTATTGTCCCAGCTATATATATATGTTTTTCGGTGTGACATATCAAGATCTGTTCAGGGACAGCAGATGTAAAATAGCCTATTGGCTAATTCTGGCACACTGTACATTTAATTATGTATTATTAGTGTGCATTGTCCCTGTCAAATAAACCTGTAGTCCCAAAGTGCAGAACAAAGCGGTATAAAAATAGCTTTGTCCCAGCAGCCATCAATCAGAGGAACAAAATGCACAGATGACACAGAAGCTATGTTATGTATTTTTATTTATTTGATCTATTTAACATTTTATTATTGTCTAAAGTTTATTGTCTGTGTTTGTCTTAAAGGTGACCTATAATTCAAAATTGATTTTACCTTGGTATAGTCAAATAACAAGAGTTCAGTGCATGGACATGACATTGGACTGGACTGTTTTCGCGTTCTCATTTAATTCACGTTTATGAAAAACACCCCTGAAAAACGGTCGGTTCTCCACACAATACCGACTGTGACGCAATAGTCGGGATCATTAATATGTACGCCTCCAAATATTTGCATAATGCCAGCCCTCAATGCCAGGCGGAACTGCGCAGCCGAAGCATGGCAGTTGCTCAGTGTGGATGTACACATGAACACAAAAGTATTTTTTAGTTCCTTCATCTGAGCCTCTGAAGAAACAATGGGTTAATTTTATTTTCTCTGGAAATTTCCAAACATTTCACCGACTGTTTCCTCAACTTGGGCCAATACAGAGCTGGCCTCGGATCGAGCTACCAAGCAACACTTTCTGATGTGTAATTGTTCAAGTTCAGACAGGTAATCTTTCTCTCAAAATCGTTCAATACTGTTTATGCATCAGTAAGTCAAGCCAGTGACTAAAATATCAGCTTCACATCGTTTCTTTTAGTAGGATGAAAATAATCGTATTTAAATTGTGAACAAATTATATACAGAAAGCGACCAAAGAACAATCTTTCCACACAGCGCGAGTTTATCTGGACACTTGCCAAACTCGTTATGAAATCAATGACGCACGTTACTGCACAACGAAGCTCTGACTGTATTTACATCATCGTGTTTGCATTGGAGAAAGCAGAGAGAGTGCAGAAACTGCTTTGCAATGATAAGATCTTCATTCTCGCGATCAACACTGTCATCTGCTCAATGCTCATCACGGCAACATTTTATGTGATGGGAATAGATCTAAATACTTTAAAAACATCTCACGATTCGTTAATCTCGATAGCTGTTATAGTAAAAACTAGGGGTGTAACGGTACACAAAAATCACGGTTCGGTACGTACCTCGGTTCTAAAGTCACGGTTCGGTACGTTTTCGATACAGCAAAAAGTAAGAAATGCCAGAGAAATTTCCTATTTGTTAAAAGAAAAAATATTTTTTTAAATAAGTGTGAGTTTTCCTACATCTTGAAACTTTCAGGTTTATAAATGGGTGTCATCTTTGAAGGATGAACAAATAATGTTTTGGTCATCACATTAAAAATAACATTTAAATATATGAGGAGTTCAGATGCAAAAGCCATTTGAAATTTTCTTCTAGAATGATCATTTTTATCAAGCTTGTATATTTAAGTTCAGTAATTTCACTCAAATGGCAATGAAGATTACCTATTAATTGTCATTTGAGTGAAATTACTGAACTTAAATATACAAGCTTTATAAAAATGATCATTCTAGAAGAAAATTTCAACTGGCACTTCATATATTTTTTTATATAATATTTGAGTTTTGAAGTGCTGGAAAAAGATGTGTGTCACTATTCCAGCCAAACTGGTTACAGTTAGTGTTACTATATTAAATCCATGGTGAATGTTGCTGGTCTGTGGACGTAAAGTATTACTAGTTCATTCACGGCACAATATTTCTCCTGGTGTCCACGTCAGCGCTGTTTGATCTAATAGAGATCTACGGTTAATAACGGAGAAATGTGAATGCTTCTCACTAGATCTCGCAGCGATGTTATTACTTCAGTGGCGAATTCAAATGTTTTCTTCACTGGATCTCTTAGCGCTGTGTTGTAACAGTGTCGCTTGATCGAGATCGGCTCGCGCTGCACAGATGTTGCTGGTCCGAACTGATAAACGATCCGTGAAGCACAATAGCGCAGTTTCGTTCCGCTTTCATTACGCTTGCCATTTGATGTTGCGCAACGTTGTGGTGATCACGCCAGCGCGAATTTTGTCGGCAGGAAAAATGCTCCAAGGAATCGTTCGGTTTGTATGCGTACCGAACCGGAAGCCTCGAACCGAAACGGTTCAATACGAATACATGTACCGTTACACCCCTAGTAAAAACGTATAATAGCAGTAGTAAAAGTATTCGGGAGAGAGTTTCACATGTAATGCGTAGCTATTTCATATGCAAGCATGTCAGCCAATCACAGCAGTGGCCGCGGTTACACTGAATCCCACAGCAGACACGCCCCTTCAAACAGAGTGTTCAAATCAGAGGCTAAAAGCAGGCTAGGAAAAATGCCATTTATTTCTAAATTATGATTATTTTTTATCTAAAAAACATACTAACATTATAAGGGTAACCCAGGAAACATTATAAAATAATAAAAAAAAACATTCTAGGGCACCTTTAAAAATGTGTGGATAACTCTGACACTGCAAAACAAATCTACCTACGGGTACAAATAAAGTAACCTGAACCTGATTGTAAATGATCAAGCAAACTCACCTTAGTTTGTGTGAATGATTGTTTTCACCCACTGTTTGTTATGAATTTGAATGCTCATTTATAGCCTATTGACAACTTTGACAAAATTTGTTTACTACGGAGCCGTTTACTACGGAGCCGTTGTTTATGCTCTCTGGGAAAGCGAAGCTAACGTTATCTTGCTATTATTGTCAGGGTCCCGCCATGACAGTCTTGTCTGTTTTGTCACTGTGTAATGTTTCCTTGTTTGTCTTGTGCTTGAGCACATGGCTTTAGGTGTGTTCGACATCGGCTGCGGCTGGATGTAACTGATCAGCGAGAGTAGCCGCGTGCAGGCGGGGAGGAGCTGCAAACGGAGACGTGAAGTCGGACACTTTCTGGTTCCTGTAGTGACAGCTCACGTGGTGTTTGTATACTTTAGCACAGCTGAAGTGAAATAAATGCAATATTTGCCAAATACACAGATGTTTCAGAGACATTTTCATTCAATACTTTATGTACTGCTTCATACAGCGTTTGTTTGAACAAGAATAAAGTTCAACATAAGCCTACAGCTATCAATGAAGTGGAATCAACGTTTTTTAATCAGTTTTATTTTGATAAACATAACACAATACATCGCGACTACATGAAAAGAGTGTTTACTGTTATAAAAAACTGATTTGTGAGCTTTAGTGGAACTAAAGGTGTGAGAATAAACCGAATAAACACGAAACGCACGTGATCGTTGTCATGCGATGAATCCGGCCAATCGTGGAACAGCTGTGTCGTCATCAGAGCTCGTGCAGCCCCGAGCAGCCGCTCTTCAGAAGCTGCGCTGGCTGAGTCCTCCGGCTGCTCTCGAATCGCTCTCGCGGTACTTTGATGGCATACGTCACAGTCACGTGGCGTCGGCGCTGTATCAAGTCGGACAACATTTCTAACCGGCATGCACTGCTTCAAGTCTGCCGCCGATCGGTCTGCGCAGAGCTGCATGAAGTCGAACAAGCCTATTGTCTTTGTTTGTGTTGGCCATGTGCTCCTCTTGTCCCGCCTCCATGTTTCCGTTACCACGCCCCCTTGTTTAGTCCACGTCTAGTCCTCGTTTCACTAATTGTGCTTGCCTGATCCTCATGTGCTCTGGTCCCTTTATATTGTGCCTCTTTCCCTCATGTCTTTGGTGGTTTGGTTTGTGTGCATGGTTAAACCTAGTTCTTGTTGTGATATTGATCTTTCTAGCTCTAGTGTATCCTTTTGCTTTTTTTTTCCTTCCAGTCTTGTTCTAGTTAGTTTTAGTGTTTTGTTTTTTCTCTTTTGATTTTATTTCTGCTTTAGATTATCATATGTAGTTCCCTGTCCGTTTGTTCTTTTGTTTTATTTTTTGATTGCAAGTTTCAGTAATTTTATTCCTAGTTTTCTTTTGTTTTGCTTCTAGTCATTGTTAGTGATGGGCAGATCGAGGCTTCGTGAAGCAATGAAACAGTCGTAATGTAATATATTGTTCTAATATATGAAGCTTGTAACCTGTAGTCTCTTCACATTGCATAATGTGATTTTGGTCATGAAAAATGAATATTAATAAAAATAAATCAAGCCACAATGTCTCCCTTTCTTATAGATTTTTATTCAAAAATATTAATTTCTCTGCTGTTGAAGGACTCAGCCTACTTCTTTTTTTACAGATAATTTCTCCAGCCTTTGAAAAAATTCTCTCACAAGGGACACTTGTTGCTGGCATACAAAGATATTTTTTAGCTAGGACATACAAATGAGGAAAGATTACTGCTCTCTCTTTCCAGTAAGTTAGAGGATCATGAGTTCTGGGCAAAAACGCATCGCTGAGGTATTTTTTCACTTCCACTGTGGCATCAGCTGTAGGATTGTGTATCATCTGGGTCTCACGGATACGATTGTCAAAATGTTCCCATAAACTGTCTTGTGTTTCAACTGGTGTTGATGATGATGGGCCTGATGTTGACATTTGTGGTTCTGAATTAAAAGAAAACGGCAATTAGTAACAAATCATAAACTGACAACACATATGAAGTATAAATTTCATGAATCACATTACATAAGATAACATAGACTGAAACTCACCAGGAGTTGTGTTTGAACGCATCAGTGAAGCACACTCCAGTGTGATGTGCTTTTCAGCATCCAGGGCTTTGGCAGGATGTCAGTAGCAGGCCTTGGTACAGGGGGAACACTACCATCCTCTGCACCCTGCAGAATGGCAGGATGAATGCTCCTCAAATGGCGCATCATGGATGATGTATTGTTGCAGTAGGCTAGCTGCCGATCACAATACACACATCTCACTTTATTTGGGGTTTCCAAATTGAAATGCTCCCACACCACAGATGTACGGCATCTCTTCTGTGGAGCCTCCATTTCTATCTATCTATCTATCTATCTATCTATCTATCTATCTATCTATCTATCTATCTATCTATCTATCTGTCTATCTATCTATCTATTTTATATGTAGCCTATCTATCTAATAATCTATATGTATCTGTAATATATGTATCTGTAATATATGTATCTATCTATTAATCTATATATATATATATATATATATATATATATATATATATATATATATATTTCTATCAATGCATCTATTAATGTGTCACTATATGTACTCTGTGTGTCTCTATGTCAATGTGTAAATGTAAATTAAATCCTAAATATAACTAAACAAATCGCACTATAAATGTCACTATATCACCAAAAATCCGCTATCTCAAAACCAAACACTGCATGAAAAGTGGGATTTTCATCAGTAAGCGTCACTGTAGATTGTCGTGGAAGTTCAGGTTTACGACAGTACACGGCAATTTACAGGCAACACTGAAAACTGCCGTGAATTGTCGGATATTGACGTGGGCCTTGCTTGGCAGTTGTCCCCCCATGACCCCCCTCCTCCTAATTCTAGGGGAGGCTTTAACATGTAAATGAAAAAGCTGTGAGCTATACAAATGCAAATGAGGGTAGCAAGGGGAGTTTTACACCAGGTGACATTTTTCTAAAATGTATTAACTTCATTCTAAGAAAATCTCTGGTGTAAATAGATCAGGCTCAGTATAGCCTAATTATAGACACTTAAATTTTAGCTTGAAATTGATATATTTAATGAAAGTATTAGGGCTGTAATCAACCAAATAATATCTTGGTCGACTGGTAGACTAAAAATGAATTTAGGAAAAAACGAAACGTTAAGTGAATTAGCTGCGCACCTTGTTGTCCGCCTGAATGAATTATAAATAAACACACGAGTCTGACGGCTCGGACAGCGTTGCATCACGTGCACCTGACCTGCGCAATATCATAGCCTATGATTTCCGAAAATAGTACTGTTGTCAACTAGTGATATCATCACAAGAACTGTTGAGGAATATGGAACATAATAGACAATTTTTTTGTCATATGTGTATTATAATAACTGACAGATATTATCAGTGCAAGCCGCTCTGTGCAGCTGAACACAGGAGCTCAGCTTCGCGGCTGAGACACGAATAGACTATTAACTTTTTTTAAATGCTGCCACACTGCCGATTTCTTTGTTGACATGGTAGAAGAGGACTGGCTATGAATTAAACGCTCTACAATTAAGTAAATAATAATCAGCAAACCTTCTAGAAGCCTACTTTCTTCAGTTTGTCTCGGGCTAATCCAAAAGAAGGGAAAACAAGGGGGTGTTCTGAAGACAGACTGTTACCTGTGAAACAGGGGTGCTCTGAAAACACCCCCATTTCAATTAGTGCTTTCCACCTGATGACATGGACGCAGCTGAAACTGTTTAATGCTATCAGTGGACTGTCTCGTCAGCTTAACATACTCAGTTTGCTGACGATGTAAATGAGCAGTTTACTTTAGTAAATTGTAGGTTGCTTTGGAATCGAAAAACTCAGTGGAACAAAGACTCTAGGAAGAGAAGACGGGTGCACAATCCTAAGATTGCGGTAAGACTGCTATCTAAACTAAGTTTTTTAAGTAGCACAAGCTAAATGTAGCCTTGCAAAAGAACAAGTGTAAGTTGCTTTATAAAAGTGTATTTTTTGGTCTTGTAATTTACAGGAAACAGTAACGTTACGCCGTCTTCACAATTCTGAGAAAAATTGTAGGCGCTACGAACCGGAGCAATGGTAAGATTAAAAATACTTTAATTCTCCTGTATAAGGAAATAGATCCTTTAATAGATATGTTACCGATCTTAACCGTACATTTTGTTTTCTCAGACTAACCTCACCTCATAACGAGGCCGTGACCTCATTTGCTCGGAGCTATGTCTGCAAGTCCAGATACATGCTGATAATGACGACATTGTGTGTAAGTAACTTTTACTATTTTCTCCTTTGTTGTGTAGTTTTACAGTGACTTATGTTGTTTATTCATATCACTCTCATTTAATTGTTTTCCAGCTGCCTGTAAAACATATTACGAGACAGTGCGCAGGAGCTTCAGGTACAAGCAGCCAGATCTTGCATCGCAGGCGGAAGCTGTGAAGAGTTCAGCTCGGAGTCGAGCAAGAATTAAGAGGGAAGAGGGTAAGATATATTTGATACGATCTGTTTTTGGACAATGTGACTATTTTTCAGGTGAATTAATAGATGTGTTGTTGTCATACGCAGTGCTGTACTGATTGTCTTTGGTTGTGTTTACAGCTGTTAGAAGCAAGACAGTGTGCTAGCTGAGGATGAGGTGAGCCTTTGGAAGCGCGCTACCACATGATGTCTGATGAGGAAGATGGCATCGTTGGCGGGGTGTGGATTGTGTGACCTCCATCCTTTCGCAGCCAGGAGCTCACAGAGCTCTGTGCCACGCTGAAGTCGAGATTAGAGGCGATTCCAAAGTACAGGGATACGCACCACAGACGTCTGCTAAATGGACCAAATTTTGCAGCCGCGAAGCTTCCAATTTGTTGTGTGGGTGGATCTCCTACGCTTTGTACATATAGTTGTTTGTTTGTGTTAATAAAGCTCTTTCTTTGAATGAACAACATGTCTCTGGCAAAATTTTTTTTTTTGTTGATGGTAATAATAGATGGTAATTGTATATGAATATAATACAACATAATAGATATGAATATATATATGAATATATACATAATTTAGTATGTAAATGTATTATTATTACAATTTTGGGGTTTACATTTATAATGAGGCAGGGTGACCAATAGCAACAGATCTGCCAACCAATCACGAGTGATTTTTCTTGTTTAAATGTAGTGGTTTCAACCAATACTGAGTGAGGTAATTCAAGCCATTCTCTGGCAAGGCGCGCGCGGGCGCTGCTATTCATATGCTAATTAGAGCCATTAGCACCTCCGCTAGCTCTCCACATACGTCATATGGTACGTTTCCGTCAGTATGTGGCACAGGCGAACGCGACGTTCGCAGGCTGTAAATTGTCATTAACTGACGAAAATTAGGGAGATTTCCGACCGTTTACGGGGACGAAAATCCCACTTTTCATGCAGTGAAACTCCTCTCACAAAAACCCACGATATGAAAATGCGTTGACAAAACTTTTATACTGTGTGATTGTGTGATTTGTTCCCGAACCGACCAATCAATGAAACCCTGATTCGGAGGAGCACTCCACCTGATGAAACACTTAGACGCTTCATTTAGCCGTTGTCACGTGACGTGGGTGTTTTGAATCACGCTCCGGATCAGTGTTTCGAATCATCTTTGCTTCGGGATCTCGCAAAGCTTCGGAACGTCTGTTTCGCGCCAGCCATCCTTAGTCATTGTTCTGTTTCAGTCTTTATCTTTATATTTCCTATTTAATTATTCTATTGTCTTGCCCTGTTATCTTGTTGTGTCTTGTCTTGTTCATTGTGAGTCTTGTGTTTGTCCCTGCCCTGCATCCTGAGAACTCCTGACCACTGACATTCACTGCATTGCAGCTAGACTGGTGCTACAGCTCAAGTCTCTGGTTCCTTGTGTTCCTGCCTGGTCTTCATCAACATCATTCCACCTGGTGCTGCCTCTTCTTCTGCAGTCTTCAAGTCCATTGTCACCAAGGACTGGTTTCAGTGGTCATTCTCCTTGCCTGTCATCGTGTCGTCAGCCTTACTCTTCGAACTGTTTCACTCTCCTTGTTGTGCCCTGTCTACAGTCTTGTTGATAAAAACCCCCTTCACAGCTATTCTGTGCCTGGGTCCTCTTTCTCTTTTCCTCTTTCAGACCCAGGGAGGGTCTAGCTAGCCTCCGTTTTGTTTGACAATACTTCGAATGTAACAAAGTTTAGCTTGTTATGGAATTTTCCATTTATTACTTTGATTTCAGTTATTCCTAATAATGGCCTCATCTGTTCTCTCACTTGTAGTGAGAGGGGGCTTTGTGTGATAATTTACTGTGGTTGGTTGTCAGTGGAGGTAAGGAAAAGCAGGTGGTCAAGGGGTCATCTTGAGTGCATTTGTACTTTATAGCCTAAAGGGTTAAGAAATAAAAACCCAAATTACTTAAACCATCTGTGTTATTCTTTTTGTGGAGCGTGAAGTGGAAACATGTCAGAAGAAATGAAAAAGACTTATTACACACCTTCTAACCCTGGTTCTTTAGGGGGGAAAAAACGCTTAAAAGAAGCTGTTTTAAAAGAAACGGGTGTTCGTTTAACCGATAAAGAGGTTTCAGACTGGCTCGCTGGCGAGGATGCATATACACTACACAGAACGGCCCCACTAAAATACAAAAGGAATCGGGTTTTTGTCTACGGTATCGACATGGAGTTCCAGGCCGATCTAGTCGATATGTCTGCATATGCCCCGGTAAATGACAACAACCATTTTTTGCTGACATGCATCGATCTCTTTAGTAAATATGCATGGACAAGGGCTTTAAAAAACAAGAGTGGTGTAGAGGTCTCTAAAGCTTTTGAATCCATACTGAAAGAGGGACGCGTACCACAGAAATTACAGACAGATAAAGGAAAGGAGTTTTTTAACAAACATTTTCAAAATGTAACAAAAAAGTACAATATAGCCCATTTCGCAACAGCCACAGAATTAAAGGCATGTGTTGTCGAGCGGTTTAATAGAACCTTAAAAGGTAGAATGTGGAGATATTTAACTGCTACAAACTCCAAACGTTACATCGACATACTTCAAGACATTACACAAGGATATAATGCGAGCCATCACAGAAGCATCAAGATGAGGCCGATTGATG